TCTCATTATTTTTAATACAAATGTAAAAATAGCTGTTTTACAGATTTTGATCGTAAAAGATCCCGGAAGCTATTTCAACTGCGACAGAGGAAGTCCCGCCTCTACCCTGTCTCTGATTGGCTCACATGTAGGCCTGTAGACCGGTGATTGGTTAGATTCCCACAAGGGTGTCGAGGTCAGCCAATAGAGGCGGGTCTTCTGTGGAACACGGAAGTGAGAGCTTACTACGGTACCCATGGTGCAGTGCGTGAGACGGTTCAAACCTCGGTGCTAACGGATCCTCGTGTGAGTGACGGTGATTGAACGCGTTCACGCAGCGCCACGGTTCCGGTGTGTGTCGGTGGTGGAGACGTATGAAGCCACCGAGCGGCTCCCGGTGGATTCATCCCGCAGACTCGTCCCGCTCCGCCATGTCTGCTCCGCTGTTAGCAGGTAGCGCTGCTAAGCTAAGCTAACTCGCTGCTAACTCGTGTGATGGTTTCCAGCTCGTAGTTTCTGGGATTTGTTGTTTGCGGGAGATTCGCCGGTTTGATTCCGGGATGAGTCATTGAAGCACCGACGCTCAGCACCGGCCCCTGACAGCGGAACACGGAGCCATGACTCTGGCTCCGAAGGAACTGTCCAACCTGCTGAGCATCATCTCGGAGGAGGCTTGTACCAACACCTTCGAGAGTCTGTCCACTCACTTCCACCATTACTTCGGGAAGGCGGAGCACTTCCGGGTGGGTTCGGTGCTGGTGATGCTCCTGCAGCAGCCGGACCTGCTGCCCAGCTCCCCGCAGCGGCTCACCGCCCTCTACCTGCTCTGGGAGATGTACCGCACCGAGCCGCTGGCTGCCAATCCGTTCGCCGCCGTGTTCGCTCACCTGCTGAACCCCGCACCTGCCGGGGAGGAGCCGGAGAAGCTGCTGTCCGGTACGTGTGTGAGCTCCGGGTTCATGTTGTGGGGACACACTTCCGTTTACTGTCACATGATGGAAATCATGAGACTTCAGGGTGAAGACTTGTGTCAGGGTGAACTTCAGGTTAGGTTCAGTTCAAGGTTAGGATCTTTGTAACGTTACAGATGTTTTCAGACATGTTGTGTGGACATGTTGTGTAGACATGTTGTGTAGTCATGTTGTGTAGTCAGTGTGCAGCAGCAGATTGTCGACTAGTTCACAACAACAGGAACATGTGGGGACATTCAGGTGAGGGGTGGAGCCTGTAGAGCAGCAGGAGGCGGGACATGACAACATGCAAACATGTCAGGAACATGTGCGGACTTCACTTCATGCCTGAAAGCAGCTGCTGATTCTTGACCACTGTTTTAACATTACATGTTCTCCATCACGTGTTTTCTAACATGTGACCTCTCCAGGCTTCCTGCCGCCCATCACCCAGCCTGAGAAGTTCTTCCTGTCGCAGCTGATGTTGGCGCCGCCCCGGGATCTCTTCAAGAAGACGCCAAGACAGGTGTCCTGCATGGATGTGGGAAACATGCCCCAGTCAATAGACATCAGCGGCCTGCAGCTGGCGTTAGCAGGTGAATATGTCCCACGCAGACTGTTAGTGTTTTAATATAAAACATTTAAAACTCTGATATATCAGCTGATATATATGTTTAAAAAAGATGTAGCTATCAAACCTTTATGACAAAGAAATGGAATTGATTCTTGGTATTTTAGAATTTTATACTAAACTTGAATATAGATAATAACTATAAAGAGAACGTGTTTGTGTTTCCGTGTCGTGCAGAGCGTCAGTCGGAGCTGCCCACTCAGAGCAAGGCCAGTTTCCCCAGCATCCTGAACGACCCGGATCCAGATTCGTCTAACTCAGGATTCGACAGCTCGGTGGCCAATCAGATCATCGAGTCCCTGGTCACGGGGCCCCGCCCTCCACTGGAGAGTAAGTGAACAGGTCAAGAACAGGAGAGAAAAAGAACTACAGGAAAATAAAACTTTATTTCTTGTGAAGTTGTAAACTGTTCGTCTAAACAGACACACACACACTTTGACTGTGCAGTAACATCCTCCCGGATCTGTTGATGGTTAATTTCAGTGATTTTAAATGTAATCGTCGTGGCAACATATCTCCGTTCTCAGGTCACTTCCGCCCCGAGTTCATCCGTCCGCCGCCTCCTCTCCACGTGTGCGAGGACGAGCTGGCGTGGCTGAACCCCACCGAGCCGGACCACAGTGTGCAGTGGGACCGCTCCATGTGTGTGAAGAACAGCACCGGTGTGGAAATCAAACGCATCATGTCCAAGGCCTTCAAGAGTCCACTGTCGGCCCAGCAGCAGTCACAGGTCAGTCTGTCAGTCTGTCTGTCTGTGATTGAATGTGAAACTTGAAAATCACTTCTGCAGATGTGTTGCTTTCATTTCTCTTCATTTCTTTTGTAGTGTTATAATTCTGCTCTCTCTCTCTCTCTCTGTCCAGCTGCTGGCCGAGCTAGAGAAGGACCCGAAGCTCGTCTATCACATCGGTTTGTCTCCGGCAAAGCTCCCTGACCTGGTGGAGAACAACCCGCTGGTGGCCATCGAGATGCTGCTGAAGCTGATGCAGAGTTCTCAGATCACAGAGTATTTCTCCGTGCTCGTCAACATGGACATGTCGCTGCACTCCATGGAGGTGGTGAACAGGTGAGTACGTCCGTCCCTCACTCCTGCTGCAAGTCCCTGAACACGGATGAGGTGACACCGCAGACGTGTCAGTGTCATGTTTAAGCTTCAGTTTCCAGAGCAAACTGGACTGTGATTGGCTGCAAGTGGTTGTGATGTCATGAATCCTACACATGAAACGCTGAACACACCCACTCTAAAGCAGTGATACACATCCATCATCTCTTTCTACTCGTCGTCTCTCAGGTTAACCACGGCCGTCGATCTGCCACCAGAGTTCATCCACCTCTACATCTCCAACTGTATCTCCACCTGTGAGCAAATCAAAGACAAGTACATGCAGGTACGATGCCGCACTTCAATCACATGACGATCAGTGACAGAATAAAGATGGACGACATGTGTCCACTTCTTCCACTGGGCACTAAAATGTCTCTGAAACCAACGTTATGTGTCAGATCACAGAAACGAGTTCCCGCCTCTACTTTGAGTTTTTTAGTTTGGTCCATGTCCCATCTGCTAACATGGAGGAGGTTTATGACTTTTACTGCGGCTTTGGGTTCATTTGTATTCACTGGTTGAAACCTCCTTTGATCTGCTGCTTTGATCCGGTTTAGTTGACACTGAGTCTTGTTCCCGTTTCTTTCAGAATCGTCTGGTTCGTCTCGTCTGCGTCTTCCTTCAGTCTCTGATCCGAAACAAGATCATCAACGTGCAGGACCTCTTCATCGAGGTTCAGGCTTTCTGCATCGAGTTCAGCCGCATCCGTGAAGCCGCCGGACTCTTTCGCCTTCTCAAGACGCTGGACACCGGAGAAAACCCCACTGAGGCCAAACCCACCAAATAACGCTGCCACACCCCTTTTAAAACAAGTTAAAGGGACAAACATCTTCACAGAAACTGGAGCCGTCGACTCAGCTGAGAATGAATATTGTAAATATGTAGTTTAGTTTGTTCAGCGTCTGAGCTTCAGTTAAAAATGGACGGACTCGTTTCAGCTTTTCATTTTCTACCAGTTACTCTGTCGTTCCTTTGGAAAACTACTTTTCTCTTATTAAACAGAGTTTTTGACTTTCAGCTCGTCGTCTTGTGCTTTTATTAAATCTCTTCATCAGATCTCGCGTGTGCGTGTGCGTGCGTCCAATGAGCTGCTACAAGACAAACAACGACTCAGCTCTTCATGTTAGATCGAGTTTATTTGTTGTGTATAAAGTTTCTGATCCACATGAACCACAGAAGAAAACATTTTAAAAAGAGAAGTGTGTCCGATGTTCTGTGAGTTTAACTGAACCAGATGATTCCACCTGTAGATGATCTGTATCAGTAGAATCTGTCTTGAAGATTATTAGATCAGGACCACACCCCCCCATGTTTCATGCTTCCTCCAGGGGACGGACGGCGTCTCTTCACGCTCTCTTCATGCCACGTGCCATGAGGCAGGCGAACACCGTCATTACCATCTTTGGTTTGACCTCCACCAGGTCCTCTGGCAGAGCGTAAACCCGGGCGCCGATCTTCCTCGCCATGGAGATGGCGTACCTGGAAACAGTGATGACGTTAAGGACTGAGGCTTTCTGATTGGATGTAACTTCTGAGCAACAGAAGAAACATTTAGATTTTCATCAGAAGGACATTAAACTGATCCTCCGCCCCTCGTGTTGAACATTTTAAATTGTGTTTTACAAAGTTTTTACTTTGCGTTGTTGAATTTCTCGTCATCCGTCAGGTCGTCTGACTTCACCAGGTCGTATCTGATGGATCCAGGCTGGATGGAATCAATCAGGTCCAGAACCGGCATACTGCTGCTGATAGAACCGTCCTACACACAGATGAAATGAATCCAGATCTCATGATGAGGCTGTGAATATATTTACACTCCTGACAGGAAGTTGTCACACAGATGACACTGAATGTTTTATGAGACGCTGAGTGTAAAACTGTGAACGCTGAAAATAACTCTTTCTTTTTTAAACCATATTTGCAGCAATAATTGTGAACTGCTATATTTATCTTTATGTAC